ACTCTTGCTGCTCTTGGTTTTGCTCCTTCCACTTCTGACCCTTCTCTGTTCTTACGCACTGACACTACTCTGCCACCGTTCTACGTTCTCGTGTACGTAGACGACCTCGTCTTTGCTACTGCTGACACTGAGGCACTCGCCCACGTGAAGTCCGAGCTGCAGAAGAGACACACGTGCACAGACCTGGGTGAGCTGACAAGCTATCTTGGCTTGCGGATCACCCGGAACAGAGCACAACGCACCATTACCTTGAGTCAGTCACACATGGTGCAGCAGGACCTTCAGCGCTTCGGCTTCACGTACTCCTCGCCACAGTCCACTCCTCTGCCTACCGGTCACTCGCTCTCAGCTCCACCTTCGGACGAGTTCGTAGAGCCGAGTGGCCCGTATCCAGAGCTTGTGGGCTGCCTCATGTACCTGATGACTTGCACACGACCTGACCTCGCATACCCTCTCAGCCTTCTGGCTCGCTACGTGGCTCCCCGCAGGCACCGATAGGTGCACTGGGATGCTGCAAAGAGGGTGTTGCGATACTTGTGCAGTACATCGGGCATGGGGCTAGTGCTTGGAGGACGGGCTCGAGTTGTCCTCACTGGTCACGCTGACGCCTCCTGGGTTGACGACTTGGCTACGCAGCGGTCGTCACAGGGTTACACCTTCAGTCTTGGCTCCGGTTCTGTCTCTTGGCGGTCTACCCGCTCTTCTTCTGTTCTCAGCTCCAGTTGCGAGGCTGAGATCTACGCTGGGGCCATGGCTGCACAGGAGCTCCGCTGGCTCACCTACCTGCTGACCGACTTGGGAGAGGTGCCTCGTTCTCCTCCAGTTCTGTACGTCGACAACAAGGCCATGTTGGCCTTGTGTCAGTAGCACAGACTGGAGCACAGAACGAAGCATATTGCTCTACGCTACTTCCTTGCTCGAGAGTTGCAGCAGCGTGGCCAGCTTCGTCTTGCTTACGTGGCCTCAGAAGCCAACACTGCTGATGTTTTCACCAAGGCACTTCAGCCTTGTGATCATCAGCGTTTCTGTACTGTTCTAGGCCTTGTACCTACTGTGCCTCACTTGCTGACTTCTTGACCCTGCTTGTACTGTACTCTATATACTTATACCTGCATGCTTACACTTGCTAGGTTGTGTTCACTGTATTGTTTGCTTTCCTTTATATAACACTGCATGTGAACTGGCCTTGTGGCCCTTTGCTTGTGCTCAGACTGCGTGGTGACTTTGTGATCCACCCTGAGCTTGCTTTGCCTTCTTTACTGGTCTTGTGACCCCTTGTTCTCCCCCACTTTTCCTATGGGGGTGTGTCAAACTTATATATGCTATAGCCTGTTTAGGCTGTAGTGGGGTAGTTCTTGTAGGGTACAACACTTTTAGGTTTCCTACTTGTACCCAACTGCTTCCTAGTTCATTCATTCCTCTCATTATTCTCACACAAATATGGTTGCAATACTTAATGATGGCACCTGATTGGACGTGTAATGCCAACAATTGCACCGAGCATATCATTGACGAATCATGCGCGGTCGTTAGGGCTGTTGCGGTTTGATGCTGGTCGCGGATTTATATGCTCGAGCGCTTATTGGTTACGAATTTGTTTGCCCGCGTGCTCATTGGTCGTGCACTGGGGCGAAAATGGCCGCGCATATACTGTTGGTCGGGCCACGTTCGCGCCCACCAAGCACCCGAAATTTTCGGGTGGGGAATAATACGAATCACTACCGCGGAATGAGACTCGTGCGAACGAGGAATTTCGGGGATACAAATGCTGGTAGGGTAATGTTCCGGAGAAAAAAAACCCCTCGAAAATGCCCTGCCGTGGCCACTCGAGCAATTATCACTGAATTTGATGGCCAGTCGAGCAATTTGGGGACACGTGGGCAAGAGCGAATCACCAAACAAGGCACTGGAGCAATTCTCTCTACTTTCGGGGTTGCTTTGGGGTTGCTGTTGGAAAATCTGGGAATGCCGGGCAAGATGCTTCCTTAGGTTCGGAATGCACATCGCGCTGATTACACTCCCACAATTCAGGAACCAACCGACTGCCACCTGTTTTAGGCTTGGGGTTGATCGCGAGTGGGCCTCCAAGATTTGTGGAACACCATTTCGATTTGTAGTTTTGACCTGATTGGCCCATCCCTTTAACTGCAAACCCGTCATTGCTGCTTCTTTATCGGATCTTTCACTCGTGTTCAGATGTTGGGTGCAGCGATTAGGATAAGTGATAGCCTGCTGTAGGGTAGAAAATATTTGTGATAGTCACGAGGATGTTATAGTGAGCGCATTTTACATGTGATAAATACACTATTTTAATAGTTCTTGTTGCAGAAATCATTACTGCTATATACTGGATTTTATATTTTGAATATTTTTCTGGTATAAATAGGGGTATTCGAATTTGAATTTAGAAAATGTAGCATGCAGTTACTGGTTTAATATTATAAGCTTTAAAATCGTATAACTTAATAATAGTACTAATACAGATAGCTAAACCAGCAGCAAGCAATTATTAATCTACCACACAAATGCATGTGCAACCAGATCCTCAAGGCCCTCCGCATGTAAGAAAACACGTTCACTGCGAGCGAAAGACCATGCGTTCACGTGAGGCCTCCACCAGGGCCCATGCTGTGCTGATGCGGCTCTGACTGCCGCGCGCACCAAGTTCCAAACATTGTTGTAGCAGGTGTTGACATCTCGCTGGTTGTCTACAAAGCTGTGCGACAAGTTGCCGCCATCATGCATGATCCGGTGTTCTACCTGCAATTCAGAAAACCATATGAATAAGTCCTAAGAACACTAGAAATTACAGACATAGCAAAAAGCCAAATCACTCACCCCGTTCAGCCAGAATGCGAGCAGTTTTAGGGGGAGAACCAGCAGGCGGTTATCTGGTCGTTCGAACGATGCACTGATGGCGTTGATGAAACAGGTGGAAGCAAATGGCACACCTTCCTTGTTGAAGGTCCACGTCAGCATGGTGAATGTTGTTGCTTCTGTCAACACGCGTGGGGCCGGAAATTATTGCGGGGAGATAACGTTTCAATGAGTTTCACGTTTGGAAGTAAAACAATAAGGCTGGAAATTGTTGCGGGGAGGGGGGAGAGTATGGTCAGAGGGGAAAGGGGGGGAGGGGGAGGGTAGTGGGAAGGGAAGGCAGTGGGAAGCTTCAATAGTGGCAGCTGTAGCTCGCTTTTGTGGGCCAGAACTGGGGAAGGTGAAAGAGGGGGGGGTGGAATGGAGGAGGGGGGGGGAATGGAGGGGGGGGGGGGGGGGAATTGGAACGTTAGTTTAATAAATGGAAAAAGGTTTAGGAAAGGGTTGAGGGAGGGGAATGGGAAGGCTTGTTTAATGAAGGGAAAGAAAACGCGGATTCACGCGTTGGAAGCTGAGTGTCAGCCAATTCCAAGGCTCTGCTGAGAAACAGACGGACACAAAGGGTTGGCAAGGTGAAACAGAATGATGTGGTGATGTGCGGTACACGAGGCGGCATGGGTCAAGGAAAGGGTGGAAAGGCGATGGCGAGGCAAGACTCACGGGAACATGCCACAGCAGGACCGATCCCAAGGCGTCTCTAAGAAACATCGGAGCGTGGAGGGGAGGTGAGGGGAAAACATTACGATTCAGTGATGGGCGGATGGGAAAGGAGAGAGGGGAAGGGAAGGGAAGGGGGGGGGGGGGGGGGGGCACTTAACCATCCAGGCTAGCTGGCACCGCCACCTTCTGCTACCATCACGCACACACACCTGCCAACACACACACACACACCTGCCAGCACACACACACACACCTGCCAGCACACACACACACACCTGGCAGCACTCACACACATACTTGTCAACACAAACACATACACCTGGCAACACACACTCACATACCTGCCAATACAAACACATACACATGGCAACTCACAAACACATACCTGCCAACACAAACACATACACCTGGCAGCACACACTCACATACCTGCCAACACAAACACATACACCTGGCAGCACACACTCACATACCTGCCAACACAAACACATACACCTGGCAGCACACACTCACATACCTGCCAACACAAACACATACACCTGGCAGCACACACTCACATACCTGCCAACACTAACACATACACCTGGCAGCACACACTCACATACCTGCCAACACAAACACATAAACCTGGCAGCACACACTCACATACCTGCCAACACAAACACATACACCTGGCAACTCACACTCACATACCTGCCAACACAGACACATACACCTGGCTGCACACACTCAATACCTGCCAACACAAACACATAACTGCCGACACAAACACATACACCTGGCAGCACACACTCACATACCTGCCAACACAGACACATACACCTGGCAGCACACACATACCTGCCAACACAAACACATACACCTGGCAGCACACACTCACATACCTGCCAACACAAACACATACACCTGGCAGCACACACTCACATACCTGCCAACACAAACACATACACCTGGCAGCACACACTCACATACCTGCCAACACAAACACATACACCTGGCAGCACACACTCACATACCTGCCAACACTAACACATACACCTGGCAGCACACACTCACATACCTGCCAACACAGACACATACACCTGGCTGCACACACTCAATATCTGCCAACACAAACACATAACTGCCGACACAAACACATACACCTGGCAGCACACACTCACATACCTGCCAACACAGACACATACACCTGGCAGCACACACATACCTGCCAACACAAACACATACACCTGGCAACACACACTCTCATACCTGCCAACACAAACACATACACCTGGCAGCACACACTCACATACCTGCCAACACAAACACATACACCTGGCAACTCACACTCACATACCTGCCCACACAAACACATACACCTGGCAACTCACACACACATACCTGCCAACACAAACACATACACCTGGCAGCACACACTCACATACCTGCCAACACAAACACATACACCTGGCAGCACACACTCACATACCTGCCAACACAAACACATACACCTGGAAGCACACACTCACATACCTGCCAACACAAACACATACACCTGGCAGAACACACTCACATACCTGCCAACACAAACACATACACCTGGCAGCACACACTCACATACCTGCCAACACAAACACATACACCTGGCGGCACACACTCTCATACCTGCCAACACAAACACATACACCTGGCAACACACACTCACATACCTGCCAATACAAACACATACACATGGCAACTCACACTCACATACCTGCCAACACAAACACATACACCTGGCAGAACACACTCACATACCTGCCAACACAAACACATACACCTGGCAGCACACACTCACATACCTGCCAACACAAACACATACACCTGGCAGCACACACTCACATACCTGCCAACACAAACACATACACCTGGCAACTCACACTCACATACCTGCCAACACAAACACATACACCTGGCAACTCACACTCACATACCTGCCCACACAAACACATACACCTGGCAACTCACATTCACATACCTGCCAACACAAACACATACACCTGGCAGCACACACTCACATACCTGCCAACACAAACACATACACCTGGCAGCACACACCCACATACCTGCCAACACAAACACATACACCTGGCAGCACACACTCACATACCTGCCAACACAAACACATACACCTGGCAACTCACACTCACATACCTGCCAACACAAACACATACACCTGACAACTCACACTCACATACCTGCCCACACAAACAAATACACCTGGCAACTCACACTCACATACCTGCCAACACAAACACATACACCTGGCAGCACACACTCACATACCTGCCAACACAAACACATACACCTGGCAGCACACACTCACATACCTGCCAACACTAACACATACACCTGGCAGCACACACTCACATACCTGCCAATACAGACACATACACCTGGCAGCACACACTCAATACCTGCCAACACAAACACATACCTGCCAACACAAACACATACACCTGGCAGCACACACTCACATACCTGCCAACACAGACACATACACCTGGCAGCACACACATACCTGCCAACACAAACACATACACCTGGCAACACACACTCTCATACCTGCCAACACAAACACATACACCTGGCAACTCACACTCACATACCTGCCAACACAAACACATACACCTGGCAACTCACACTCACATACCTGCCCACACAAACACATACACCTGGCAACGCACACACACATACCTGCCAACACAAACACATACACCTGGCAGCACACACTCACATACCTGCCAACACAAACACATACACCTGGCAGCACACACTCACATACCTGCCAACACAAACACATACACCTGGCAGCACACACTCACATACCTGCCAACACAAACACATACACCTGGCAGCACACACTCACATACCTGCCAACACAAACACATACACCTGGCAGCACACACTCACATACCTGCCAACACAAACACATACACCTGGCAGCACACACTCTCATACCTGCCAACACAAACACATACACCTGGCAACACACACTCACATACCTGCCAATACAAACACATACACATGGCAACTCACACTCACATACCTGCCAACACAAACACATACACCTGGCAGCACACACTCACATACCTGCCAACACAAACACATACACCTGGCAGCACACACTCACATACCTGCCAACACAAACACATACACCTGGCAGCACACACTTACATACCTGCCAACACAAACACATACACCTGGCAGCACATACTCACATACCTGCCAACACTAACACATACACCTGGCAGCACACACTCACATACCTGCCAACACAGACACATACACCTGGCAGCACACACTCACATACATGCCAACACAAACACATACACCTGGCAACACACACTCACATACCTGCCAACACAAACACATACACCTGGCAGCACACACTCACATACCTGCCAACACAAACACATACACCTGGCAGCACACACCCACATACCTGCCAACACAAACACATACACCTGGCAGCACACACTCTCATACCTGCCAACACAAACACATACACCTGGCAACACACACTCACATACCTGCCAACACAAACACATACACCTGGCAGCACACACTCTCATACCTGCCAACACAAACACATACACCTGGCAACACACACTCACATACCTGCCAATACAAACACATACACATGGCAACTCACACTCACATACCTGCCAACACAAACACATACACCTGGCAGCACACACTCACATACCTGCCAACACAAACACATACACCTGGCAGCACACACTCACATACCTGCCAACACAAACACATACACCTGGCAGCACACACTCACATACCTGCCAACACAAACACATACACCTGGCAGCACATACTCACATACCTGCCAACACTAACACATACACCTGGCAGCACACACTCACATACCTGCCAACACAGACACATACACCTGGCAGCACACACTCACATACATGCCAACACAAACACATACACCTGGCAACACACACTCTCATACCTGCCAACACAAAAACATACACCTGGCAGCACACACTCACATACCTGCCAACACAAACACATACACCTGGCAACTCACACTCACATACCTGCCAACACAAACACATACACCTGGCAGCACACACTCACATACCTGCCAACACAAACACATACACCTGGCAGCACATACTCACATACCTGCCAACACTAACACATACACCTGGCAGCACACACTCACATACCTGCCAACACAGACACATACACCTGGCAGCACACACTCACATACATGCCAACACAAACACATACACCTGGCAACACACACTCTCATACCTGCCAACACAAAAACATACACCTGGCAGCACACACTCACATACCTGCCAACACAAACACATACACCTGGCAACTCACACTCACATACCTGCCCACACAAACACATACACCTGGCAACTCACACTCACATACCTGCCAACACAAACACATACACCTGGCAGCACACACTCACATACCTGCCAACACAAACACATACACCTGGCAGCACACACCCACATACCTGCCAACACAAACACATACACCTGGCAGCACACACTCTCATACCTGCCAACACAAACACATACACCTGGCAACACACACTCACATACCTGCCAACACAAACACATACACCTGGCAGCACACACTCACATACCTGCCAACACAAACACATACACCTGGCAGCACACACCCACATACCTGCCAACACAAACACATACACCTGGCAGCACACACTCTCATACCTGCCAACACAAACACATACACCTGGCAGCACACACTCACATACCTGCCAACACAAACACATACACCTGGCAGCACACACTCTCATACCTGCCAACACAAACACATACACCTGGCAACACACACTCACATACCTGCCAATACAAACACATACACATGGCAACTCACACTCACATACCTGCCAACACAAACACATACACCTGGCAGCACACACTCACATACCTGCCAACACAAACACATACACCTGGCAGCACACACTCACATACCTGCCAACACAAACACATACACCTGGCAGCACACACTCACATACCTGCCAACACAAACACATACACCTGGCAGCACATACTCACATACCTGCCAACACAGACACATACACCTGGCAGCACACACTCACATACATGCCAACACAAACACATACACCTGGCAACACACACTCTCATACCTGCCAACACAAAAACATACACCTGGCAGCACACACTCACATACCTGCCAACACAAACACATACACCTGGCAACTCACACTCACATACCTGCCCACACAAACACATACACCTGGCAACTCACACTCACATACCTGCCAACACAAACACATACACCTGGCAGCACACACTCACATACCTGCCAACACAAACACATACACCTGGCAGCACACACCCACATACCTGCCAACACAAACACATACACCTCGCAGCACACACTCACATACCTGCCAACACAAACACATACACCTGGCAACTCACACTCACATACCTGCCAACACAAACACATACACCTGGCAGCACACACTCACATACCTGCCAACACAAACACATACACCTGGCAGCACACACTCACATACCTGCCAACACAAAGACATACACCTTGCAGTACAAACTCACATACCTGCCAACACAAACACATACACCTCGCAGCACACACTCACATACCTACCAGCCCAGACACATACACCTGGCAGCACACACTCTCATACCTGCCAACACAAACACATACACCTGGAAGCACACACTCACATACCTGCCAACACAAACACATACAGCTGGCAGCACACACTCACATACCTGCCAACACAAACACATACACCTGGCAGCACACACTCACATACCTGCCAACACAAACACATACACCTGGCAGCACACACTCACATACCTGCCAACACAAACACATACACCTGGCAACTCACACTCACATACCTGCCAACACAAACACATACACCCGGCAGCACACACTCACATACTTGCCAAAACAAACACATACACCTGGCAGCACACACTCACATACCTGCCAACAAAAACACATACACCTGGCAGCACACACTCACATACCTGCCAACAAAAACACATACACCTGGCAGCACACACTCACATACCTGCCAACACAAACACATACACCTGGCAGCACACACTCACATACCTGCCAACACAAACACATACACCTGGCAGCACAAACTCACATACCTTCCAACACAAACACATACACCTGGCAACTCACACTCACATACCTGCCCACACAAAAACATAAACCTGGCAACTCACACTCACATACCTGCCAACACAAACAGATACACCTGGCAGCACACACTCACATACCTGCCAACACAAACACATACACCTGGCAGCACACACTCAATACCTGCCAATACAAACACATACCTGCCAACACAAACACATACACCTGGCAGCACACACTCACATACCTGCCAACACAGACACATACACCTTGCAGCACACACTCACATACCTGCCAACACACACACATACACCTGGTAACACACACTCTCATACCTTCCAACACAAACACATACACCTGGCAGCACACACTCACATACCTGCCAAAACAAACACATACACCTGGCAGCACACACTCACATACCTGCCAACACAAACACATACACCTGGCAGCACACACTCACATACCTGCCAACAAAAACACATACACCTGGCAGCACACACTCACATACCTACCAACACAAACACATACACCTGGCAGCACACACTCACATACCTGCCAACACAAACACATACACCTGGCAGCACAAACTCACATACCTGCCAACACAAACACATACACCTGGCAACTCACACTCACATACCTGCCAACACAAACACATACACCTGGCAACTCACACTCACATACCTGCCAACACAAACACATACACCTGGCAGCACACACTCACATACCTGCCAACACAAACACATACACCTGGCAGCACAAACTCACATACCTGCCAACACAAACACATACACCTGGCAACTCACACTCACATACCTGTCCACACAAACACATAAACCTGGCAACACACACTCACATACCTGCCAACAAAAACACATACACCTGGGAGCACACACTCACATACTTGCCAACACAAACACATATACCTGGCAGCACACACTCACATACCTGCCAACACAAACACATACACCTGGCAACTCACACTCACATACCTGCCAACACAAACACATACACCTGGCAGCACACACTCACATCCCTGCCAACACAAACACATACACCTGGCAGCACACACTCACATACCTGCCAACACAGAGACATACACCTTGCAGTACACACTCACATACCTGCCAACACAAACACATACACCTCGCAGCACACACTCACATACCTACCAACCCAGACACATACACCTGGCAGCACACACTCTCATACCTGCCAACACAAACACATACACCTGGAAGCACACACTCACATACCTGCCAACACAAACACATACAGCTGGCAGCACACACTCACATACCTGCCAACACAAACACATACACCTGGCAGCACACACTCACATACCTGCCAACACAAACACATACACCTGGCAGCACACACTCACATACCTGCCAACACAAACACATACACCTGGCAGCACACACTCACATACCTGCCAAACCAAACACATACACCTGGCAGCACACACTCACATACCTGCCAACACAAACACATACACCTGGCAGCACACACTCACATACCTGCCAACACAGACACATACACCTGGCAGCACACACTCACATACCTGCCAACACAAACACATACACCTGGCAACTCACACTCACATACCTGCCAACACAAACACATACACCTGGCAGCACACACTCACATACCTGCCAACACAAACACATACAGCTGGCAGCACACACTCACATACCTGCCAACACAGACACATACACCTGGCAGCACAACCTCACATACCTGCCAACACAAACACATACACCTGGCAGCACACACTCACATTCATGGCAACACAAACACATTCACCTGGCAACTCACACTCACATACCTGCCAACACAAACACATACACCTGGCAGCACACACTCACATACCTGCCAACACAAACACATACACCTGGCAACTCACACTCACATACCTGCCAACACAAACACATACACCCGGCAGCACACACTCACATACTTGCCAAAACAAACACATACACCTGGCAGCACACACTCACATACCTGCCAACAAAAACACATACACCTGGCAGCACACACTCACATACCTGCAAACAAAAACACATACACCTGGCAGCACACACTCACATACCTGCCAACACAAACACATACACCTGGCAGCACAAACTCACATACCTGCCAACACAAACACATACACCTGGCAACTCACACTCACATACCTGTCCACACAAACACATAAACCTGGCAACACACACTCACATACCTGCCAACAAAAACACATACACCTGGGAGCACACACTCACATACTTGCCAACACAAACACATATACCTGGCAGCACACACTCACATACCTGCCAACACAAACACATACACCTGGCAACTCACACTCACATACCTGCCAACACAAACACATACACCTGGCAGCACACACTCACATCCCTGCCAACACAAACACATACACCTGGCAGCACACACTCACATACCTGCCAACACAGAGACATACACCTTGCAGTACACACTCACATACCTGCCAACACAAACACATACACCTCGCAGCACACACTCACATACCTACCAACCCAGACACATACACCTGGCAGCACACACTCTCATACCTGCCAACACAAACACATACACCTGGAAGCACACACTCACATACCTGCCAACACAAACACATACAGCTGGCAGCACACACTCACATACCTGCCAACACAAACACATACACCTGGCAGCACACACTCACATACCTGCCAACACAAACACATACACCTGGCAGCACACACTCACATACCTGCCAACACAAACACATACACCTGGCAGCACACACTCACATACCTGCCAAACCAAACACATACACCTGGCAGCACACACTCACATACCTGCCAACACAAACACATACACCTGGCAGCACACACTCACATACCTGCCAACACAGACACATACACCTGGCAGCACACACTCACATACCTGCCAACACAAACACATACACCTGGCAACTCACACTCACATACCTGCCAACACAAACACATACACCTGGCAGCACACACTCACATACCTGCCAACACAAACACATACAGCTGGCAGCACACACTCACATACCTGCCAACACAGACACATACACCTGGCAGCACAACCTCACATACCTGCCAACACAAACACATACACCTGGCAGCACACACTCACATTCATGGCAACACAAACACATTCACCTGGCAACTCACACTCACATACCTGCCAACACAAACACATACACCTGGCAGCACACACTCACATACCTGCCAACACAAACACATACACCTGGCAACTCACACTCACATACCTGCCAACACAAACACATACACCCGGCAGCACACACTCACATACTTGCCAAAACAAACACATACACCTGGCAGCACACACTCACATACCTGCCAACAAAAACACATACACCTGGCAGCACACACTCACATACCTGCAAACAAAAACACATACACCTGGCAGCACACACTCACATACTTGCCAACACAAACACATATACCTGGCAGCACAAACCCACATACCTGCCAACACAAACACATACACCTGGCAACTCACACTCACATACCTGCCAACACAAACACATACACCTGGCAGCACACACTCACATACCTGCCAACACATACACATACACCCGGCAGCACACACTCACATACCTGCCAACACAAACACATACACCTGGCAGCACACACTCACATACTTGCCAACACAAACACATACACCTGGTAGCACACACTCACATACCTGCCAACACAAACACATTCACCTGGCAACTCACACTCACATACCTGCCAACACAAACACATACACCTGGAAGCACACACTCACATACCTGCCAACACAAACATATACACCTGGCAGCACACACTCACATACCTGCCAAAACAAACACATACACCTGGCAGCACACACTCACATACCTGCCAACACAAACACATACACCTGGCAACTCACACTCACATACCTGCCAACACAAACAACTACACCTGGGAGCTCACACTCACATACTTGCCAACACAAACACATATACCTGGCAGCACACACTCACATACCTGCCAAAACAAACACATACACCTGGCAGCACACACTCACATTCATGCCAACAAAAACACATACACCTGGCAGCACACACTCACATACTTGCCAACAAAAACACATACACCTGGGAGCTCACACTCACATACTTGCCAACACAAACACATATACCTGGCAGCACACACTCACATACCTGCCAACACAAACACATACACCTGGCAACTCACACTCACATACCTGCCAACACAAACACATACACCTGGCAGCACACACTCACATACCTGCCAACACAAACACATTCACCTGGCAGCACACACTCACATACCTGCCAACACAAACACATACACCTGGCAGCACACACTCACATACTTGCCAACACAAACACATACACCTGGCAGCACACACTCACATACCTGCCAACACAAACACATACACCTGGCAACTCACACTCACATACCTGCCAACACAAACACATACACCTGGCAGCACACACTCACATACCTGCCAACACACGCACATACACCTGGCAGCACACACTCACATACCTGCCAACACAGACACATACACCTGGCAGCACACACTCTCATACCTGCCAACACAAACACATACACCTGGAAGCACACACTCACATACCTGCCAACACAAACACATACACCTGACAGCACACACTCACATGCCTGCCAACACAAACACATACACCTGGCAGCACACACTCACATACCTGCCAACACAAACACATACACCTGGCAGCACACACTCGCATACCTGCCAACACAAACACATACACCTGGCAACTCACACTCACATACCTGCCAACACAAACACATACACCTGGCAGCACACACTCACATACCTGCCAACACAAACACATACACCTGGCAGCACACACTCACATACCTGCCAACACATACACATACAACCGGCAGCACACACTCACATACCTGCCAACACAAACACATACACCTGGCAGCACACACTCACATACTTGCCAACACAAACACATACACCTGGCAGCACACACTCACATAACTGCCAACACAAACACATTCACCTGGCAACTCACACTCACATACCTGCCAACACAAACACATACACCTGGCAGCACACACTCACATTCCTGCCAACACAAACACATACACCTGGCAACTCACACTCACATACCTGCCAACACAAACACATACACCTGGCAGCACACACTCACATTCATGCCAACACAAACACATTCACCTGGCAACTCACACTCACATACCTGCCAAAACAAACACATACACCTGGCAGCACACACTAACATACCTGCCAACAAAAACACATACACCTGGCAGCACACACTCACATACCTGCCAACAAAAACACATACACCTGGGAGCACACACTCACATACTTGCCAACACAAACACATATGCCTGGCAGCACACACTCACATACCTGCCAACACAAACACATACACCTGGCAACTCACACTCACATACCTGCCAACACAAACACATACACCTGGCAGCACACACTCACATACCTGCCAACACAAACACATTCACCTGGCAGCACACACTCACATACCTGCCAACACAAACACATACACCTGGCAGCACACACTCACATACTTGCCAACATAAACACATAAACCTGGCAGCACACACTCACATACCTGCAAACACAAACACATACACTTGGCAACTCACACTCACATACCTGCCAACACAAACACATACACCTGGCAGCACACACTCACATACCTGCCAACACAAACACATACACCTGGCAGCACACACTCACATACCTGCCAACACAGACACATACACCTGGCAGCACACACTCTCATACCTGCCAACACAAACACATACACCTGGAAGCACACACTCACATACCTGCCAACACGAACACGTACACCTGGCAGCACACACTCACATACCTGCCAACACAAACACATACACCTGGCAGAACACACTCACATACCTGCCAACACAAACACATACACCTGGCAGCACACACTCACATACCTGCCAACACAAACACATTCACCTGGCAGCACACACTCACATACTTGCCAACACAAACACATACACCTGGCAGCACACACTCACATACCTGCCAACACAAACACATTCACCTGGCAACTCACACTCACATACCTGCCAACACAAACACATACACCTGGCAGCACACACTCACATACCTGCCAACACAAACACATACACCTGGCAGCACACACTCACATACCTGCCAACACAAACACATTCACCTGGCAGCACACACTCACATACCTGCCAACCCAGACACATACACCTGGCAGCACACACTCTCATACCTGCCAAAACAAACACATACACCTGGAAGCACACACTCACATACCTGCCAACACAAACACATATGCCTGGCAGCACACACTCACATACCTGCCAACACAAACACATACACCTGGCAACTCACACTCACATACCTGCCAACACAAACACATACACCTGGCAGCACACACTCACATACCTGCCAACACAAACACATTCACCTGGCAGCACACACTCACATACCTGCCAACACAAACACATACACCTGGCAGCACACACTCACATACTTGCCAACACAAACACAAACACCTGGCAGCACACACTCACATACCTGCAAACACAAACACATACACCTGGCAACTCACACTCACATACCTGCCAACACAAACACATACACCTGGCAGCACACACTCACATACCTGCCAACACAAACACATACACCTGGCAGCACACACTCACATACCTGCCAACACAGACACATACACCTGGCAGCACACACTCTCATACCTGCCAACACAAACACATACACCTGGAAGCACACACTCACATACCTGCCAACACGAACACGTACACCTGGCAGCACACACTCACATACCTGCCAACACAAACACATACACCTGGCAGAACACACTCACATACCTGCCAACACAAACACATACACCTGGCAGCACACACTCACATACCTGCCAACACAAACACATTCACCTGGCAACTCACACTCACATACCTGCCAACACAAACACATACACCTGGCAGCACACACTCACATACCTGCCAACACAAACACATACACCTGGCAGTACACACTCACATACCTGCCAACACAAACACATACACCTGGCAGCACACACTCACATACCTACCAACACAAACACATACACCTGGCAGCACACACTCACATACCTGCCAACACAAACACATACACCTGGCAGCACACACTCACATACCTGCCAACCCAGACACATACACCTGGCAGCACACACTCTCATACCTGCCAAAACAAACACATACACCTGGAAGCACACACTCACATAACTGCCAACACAAACACATACAGCTGGCAGCACACACTCACATACCTGCCAACACAAACACATACACCTGGCAGCACACACTCACATACCTGCCAACACAAACACATACACCTGGCAGCACACACTCACAAACCTGCCAACACAAACACATACACCTGGCAACTCACACTCACATACCTGCCAACACAAACACATACACCTGGCAGCACACACTCACATACTTGCCAAAACAAACACATACACCTGGCAGCACACACTCACATACCTGCCAACAAAAACATACACCTGGCAGCACACACTCACATACCTGCCAACAAAAACACATACACCTGGCAGCACACACTCACATACCTGCCAACACAAACACATACACCTGGCAGCACACACTCACATACCTGCCAACACAAACACATACACCTGGCAGCACACACTCACATACCTGCCAACACAAACACATACACCTGGCAACTCACACTCACATACCTGCCAACACAAACACATACACCTGGCAGCACACACTCACATACCTGCCAACACAAACACATACACCTGGCAGCACACACTCACATACCTGCCAACACAAACACATACACCTGGCAGCACACACTCACATACCTGCCAAAACAAACACATACACCTGGCAGAACACACTCACATACCTGCCAACACAAACACATACACCTGGCAACTCACACTCACATACCTGCCAACACAAACACATACACCTGGCAACTCACACTCACATACCTGCCAACACAAACACATACACCTGGCAACTCACACTCACATACCTGCCAACACAAACACATACACCTGGCAGCACACACTCACATTCATGCCAACACAAACACATTCACCTGGCAACTCACACTCACATACCTGCCAAAACAAACACATACACCTGGCAGCACACACTAACATACCTGCCAACAAAAACACATACACCTGGCAGCACACGCTCACATACCTGCCAACAAAAACACATACACCTGGGAGCACACACTCACATACTTGCCAACACAAACACATATACCTGGCAGCACACACTCACATACCTGCCAACACAAACACATACACCTGGCAACTCACACTCACATACCTGCCAACACAAACACATACACCTGGCAGCACACACTCACATACCTGCCAACACAAACACATTCACCTGGCAGCACACACTCACATACCTGCCAACACAAACACATTCACCTGGCAGCACACACTCACATACCTGCCAACACAAACACATACACCTGGCAACTCACACTCACATACCTGCCAACACAAACACATACACCTGGCAGCACACACTCACATACCTGCCAACACAAACACATTCACCTGGCAGCACACACTCACATACCTGCCAACACAAACACATACACCTGACAGCACACACTCACATACTTGCCAACACAAACACATACACCTGGCAGCACACACTCACATACCTGCCAACACAAACACATACACCTGGCAACTCACACTCACATTCCTGCCAACACAAACACATACACCTGGCAGCACACACTCACATACCTGCCAACACAAACACATACACCTGGCAGCACACACTCACATACCTGCCAACACAGACACATACACCTGGCAGCACACACTCTCATACCTGCCAACACAAACACATACACCTGGAAGCACACACTCACATACCTGCCAACACAAACACATACACCTGGCAGCACACACTCACATACCTGCCAACACAAACACATACACCTGGCAGCACACACTCACATACCTGCCAACACAAACACATACACCTGGCAGCACACACTCACATACCTGCCAACACAAACACATACACCTGGCAACTCACACTCACATACCTGGAACACAAACACATACACCTGGCAGCACACACTCACATACCTGCCAACACAAACACATACACCTGGCTGCACACACTCACATACCTGCCAACACAAACACATACACCTGGCAACTCACACTCACATACCTGCCAACACAAACACATACACCTGGCAGCACACACTCACATACCTGCCAACACAAACACATAAACCTGGCAGCACACACTCACATACCTGCCAACACAAACACATACACCTGGCAACTCACACTCACATACCTGCCAACACAAACACATACACCTGTCAACTCACACTCACATACCTGCCAACACAAACACATATACCTGGCAGCACAAACTCACATACATGCCAAAACAAACACATACACCTGGCAGCACACACTCACATACCTGCCAACAAAAACACATACACCTGGCAGCACACACTCACATACCTGCCAACACAAACACATACACCTGGCAGCACACACTCACATGCCTGCCAACACAAACACATACACCTGGCAGCACACACTCACATACTTGCCAAAACAAACACATACACCTGGCAGCACACACTCACATACCTGCCAACACAGACACATACACCTGGCAGCAGACACTCTGATACCTGCCAACACAAACACATACACCTGGAAGCACACACTCACATACCTGCCAACACAAACACATACACCTGGCAGCACACACTCACATTCCTGCCAACACAAACACATACACCTGGCAGCACACACTCACATACCTGCCAACACAAACACATACACCTGGCAGCACACACTCACATACCTGCCAACACAAACACATACACCTGGCAACTCACACTCACATACCTGCCAACACAAACACATACACCTGGCAGCACACACTCACATACCTGCCAACACAAACACATACACCTGGCAGTACACACTCACATACCTGCCAACACAAACACATACACCTGGCAGCACACACTCACATACCTGCCAACCCAGACACATACACCTGGCAGCACACACTCTCATACCTGCCAAAACAAACACATACACCTTGAAGCACACACTCACATACCTGCCAACACAAACACATACAGCTGGCAGCACACACTCACATACCTGCCAACACAAACACATACACCTGGCAGCACACACTCACATACCTGCCAACACAAACACATACACCTGGAAGCACACACTCACATACCTGCCAACACAAACACATACACCTGGCAACTCACACTCACATACCTGCCAACACAAACACATACACCCGGCAGCACACACTCACATACTTGCCAAAACAAACACATACACCTGGCAGCACACACTCACATACCTTCCAACAAAAACACATACACCTGGCAGCACACACTCACATAACTGCCAACAAAAACACTTACACCTGGCAGCACTCACTCACATACCTGCCAACACAAACACATACACCTGGCAGCACACACTCACATACCTGCCAACACAAACACATACACCTGGCAGCACAAACTCACATACCTGCCAACACAAACACATACACCTGGCAACTCACACTCACATACCTGCCCACTCAAACACATACACCTGGCAACTCACACTCACATACCTGCCAACACAAACACATACACCTGGCGGCACACACTCACATACCTGCCAACACAAACACATACACCTGGCAGCACACACTCACATACCTGCCAACACAAACACATACACCTGGCAGCACACACTCAATACCTGCCAATACAAACACATACCTGCCAACACAAACACATACACCTGGCAGCACACACTCACATACCTGCCAACACAGACACATACACCTTGCAGCACACACTCACATACCTGCCAACACACACACATACACCTGGCAACACACACTCTCATACCTTCCAACACAAACACATACACCTGGCAGCACACACTCACATACCTGCCAACACAAACACATACACCTGGCAACTCACACTCACATACCTGCCCACACAAACACATACACCTGGCAACTCACACTCAAATACCTGCCAACACAAACACATACACCTGGCAGCACACACTCACATACCTGCCAACACAAACACATGCACCTGGCAGCACACACTCACATACCTGCCTACACGAACACATACACCTGGCAGCACACACTCACATACCTGCCAACACAAACACATACAGCTGGCAGCACACACTCACATACCTGCCAACACAGACACATACACCTGGCAGCACACACTCACATACCTGCCAACACAAACACATACACCTGGCAACACACACTCTCATACCTGCCAACTCAAACACATACACCTGGCAGCACACACTCACATACCTGCCAACACAAACACATATACCTGGCAGCACACACTCACATACCTGCCAACACAAACACATACACCTGGCAGCACACACTCACATACCTGTCAACACAAACACATACACCAGGCAGCACACACTCACATACCTGCCAACACAAACACATACACCTGGCAGCACACACTCACATACCTGCCAGCACAAACACATACACCTGGCAAATCACACTCACATACCTGCCCACACAAACACATACACCTGGCAACTCACACTCACATACCTGCCAACTCAAACACATACACCTGGCAGCACACACTCACATACCTGCCAACACAAACACATACACCTGGCAGCACACACTCACATACCTGCCAACACAAACACATACACCTGGCAGCACACACTCACATACCTGCCAACACAAACACATACAGCTGGCAGCACACACTCACATACCTGCCAACACAAACACATACACCTGGCAGCACACACTCACATACCTGCCAACACAAACACATACACCTGGCAACTCACACTCACATACCTGCCAACACAAACACATACACCTGGCAGCACACACTCACATACCTGCCAACACAAACACATACACCTGGCAGCACACACTCACATACCTGCCAACACAAACACATACACCTGGCAGCACACACTCACATACCTGCCAACACAAACACATACACCTGGCAGCACACACTCACATACCTGCCAACACAAACACATACACCTGGCAGCACACACTCACATACCTGCCAACACAAACACATACACCTGGCAGCACACACTCACATACCTGCCAACACAAACACATACACCTGGCAGCACAAACTCACATACCTGCCAACACAAACACATAAACCTGGCAGCACACACTCACATACCTGCCAACACAAACACATACACCTGGCAGCACACACTCACATACCTGCCAACACAAACACATACACCTGGCAGCACACACTCACATACCTGCCAACACAAACTCATACACCTGGCAGCACACACTCACATACCTGCCAACACAAACACATACACCTGGCAACTCACACTCACATACCTGCCAACACAAACACATACACCTGGCAGCACACACTCACATACCTGCCAACACAAACACATAAACCTGGCAGCACACACTCACATACCTGCCAACACAAACACATACACCTGGCAACTCACACTCACATACCTGCCAACACAAACACATACACCTGGCAGCACACACTCACATACCTGCCAACACAAACACATACACCTGGAAGCACACACTCACATACCTGCCAACACAAACACATACACCTGGCAACTCACACTCACATACCTGCCAACACAAACACATACACCCGGCAGCACACACTCACATACTTGCCAAAACAAACACATACACCTGGCAGCACACACTCACATACCTTCCAACAAAAACACATACACCTGGCAGCACACACTCACATAACTGCCAACAAAAACACATACACCTGGCAGCACTCACTCACATACCTGCCAACACAAACACATACACCTGGCAGCACACACTCACATACCTGCCAACACAAACACATACACCTGGCAGCACAAACTCACATACCTGCCAACACAAACACATACACCTGGCAACTCACACTCACATACCTGCCCACTCAAACACATACACCTGGCAACTCACACTCACATACCTGCCAACACAAACACATACACCTGGCGGCACACACTCACATACCTGCCAACACAAACACATACACCTGGCAGCACACACTCACATACCTGCCAACACAAACACATACACCTGGCAGCACACACTCAATACCTGCCAATACAAACACATACCTGCCAACACAAACACATACACCTGGCAGCACACACTCACATACCTGCCAACACAGACACATACACCTTGCAGCACACACTCACATACCTGCCAACACACACACATACACCTGGCAACACACACTCTCATACCTTCCAACACAAACACATACACCTGGCAGCACACACTCACATACCTGCCAACACAAACACATACACCTGGCAACTCACACTCACATACCTGCCCACACAAACACATACACCTGGCAACTCACACTCAAATACCTGCCAACACAAACACATACACCTGGCAGCACACACTCACATACCTGCCAACACAAACACATGCACCTGGCAGCACACACTCACATACCTGCCTACACGAACACATACACCTGGCAGCACACACTCACATACCTGCCAACACAAACACATACAGCTGGCAGCACACACTCACATACCTGCCAACACAGACACATACACCTGGCAGCACACACTCACATACCTGCCAACACAAACACATACACCTGGCAACACACACTCTCATACCTGCCAACTCAAACACATACACCTGGCAGCACACACTCACATACCTGCCAACACAAACACATATACCTGGCAGCACACACTCACATACCTGCCAACACAAACACATACACCTGGCAGCACACACTCACATACCTGTCAACACAAACACATACACCAGGCAGCACACACTCACATACCTGCCAACACAAACACATACACCTGGCAGCACACACTCACATACCTGCCAGCACAAACACATACACCTGGCAAATCACACTCACATACCTGCCCACACAAACACATACACCTGGCAGCACACACTCACATACCTGCCAACACAAACACATAAACCTGGCAGCACACACTCACATACCTGCCAACACAAACACATACACCTGGCAACTCACACTCACATACCTGCCAACACAAACACATACACCTGGCAGCACACACTCACATACCTGCCAACACAAACACATACACCTGGAAGCACACACTCACATACCTGCCAACACAAACACATACACCTGGCAACTCACACTCACATACCTGCCAACACAAACACATACACCCGGCAGCACACACTCACATACTTGCCAAAACAAACACATACACCTGGCAGCACACACTCACATACCTGCCAACACAAACACATACACCTGGCAGCACACACTCACATACCTGCCAACACAAACACATACACCTGGCAGCACACACTCACATACCTGCCAACACAAACACATACACCTGGCAGCACACACTCACATACCTGCCAACACAAACACATACACCTGGCAACTCACACTCACATACCTGCCAACACAAACACATACACCTGGCAGCACACACTCACATACCTGCCAACACAAACACATAAACCTGGCAGCACACACTCACATACCTGCCAACACAAACACATACACCTGGCAACTCACACTCACATACCTGCCAACACAAACACATACACCTGGCAGCACACACTCACATACCTGCCAACACAAACACATACACCTGGAAGCACACACTCACATACCTGCCAACACAAACACATACACCTGGCAACTCACACTCACATACCTGCCAACACAAACACATACACCCGGCAGCACACACTCACATACTTGCCAAAACAAACACATACACCTGGCAGCACACACTCACATACCTTCCAACAAAAACACATACACCTGGCAGCACACACTCACATAACTGCCAACAAAAACACATACACCTGGCAGCACTCACTCACATACCTGCCAACACAAACACATACACCTGGCAACTCACACTCACATACCTGCCAACACAAACACATACACCTGGCAGCACACACTCACATACCTGCCAACACAAACACATAAACCTGGCAGCACACACTCACATACCTGCCAACACAAACACATACACCTGGCAACTCACACTCACATACCTGCCAACACAAACACATACACCTGGCAACTCACACTCACATACCTGCCAACACAAACACATACACCTGTCAACTCACACTCACATACCTGCCAACACAAACACATATACCTGGCAGCACAAACTCACATACATGCCAAAACAAACACATACACCTGGCAGCACACACTCACATACCTGCCAACACAAACACATACACCTGGCAATTCACACTCACATACCTGCCAACACAAACACATACACCTGGCAGCACAAACTCACACACATGCCAAAACAAACACATACACCTGGCAGCACACACTCACATACCTGCCAACACATACACATACACCCGGCAGCACTCACTCACATACATGCCAAAACAAACACATACACCTGGCAGCACACACTCACATACCTGCCAACACAAACACATACACCTGGCAGCACACACTCACATACCTGCCAACACAAACACATACACCTGGCAACTCACACTCACATACCTGCCAACACAAACACATACACCTGGCAACACACACTCTCATACCTGCCAACACAAACACATACACCTGGAAGCACACACTCTCATACCTGCCAACACAAACGCATACACCTGGCAGCACACACTCACATACCTGCCAACACAAACACATACACCTGGCAGCACACAATCACATACCTGCCAACACAAACACATACAGCTGGCAGCACACACTCACATACCTGCCAACACAGACACATACACCTGGCAGCACACACTCACATACCTGCCAAAACAGACACATACACCTGGCAGCACACACTCACATACCTGCCAACACAAACACATACACCTGGCAACTCACACTCACATACCTGCCAACACAAACACATACACCTGGCAACTCACACTCACATACCTGCCAACACAAACACATACACCTGGCAACACACACTCTCATACCTGCCAACACAAACACATACACCTGGCAGCACACACTCACATACCTGCCAACACAAACACATACACCTGGCAACACACACTCTCATACCTGCCAACACAAACACATACACCTGGCATGGGAAGGAGAAAGGTTTAGGAAAGGGGTGAGGGAGGGGAATGGGAAGGCTTGTTTAATGAAGGGAAAGAAAACGCGGATTCACGCGTTGGAAGCTGAGTGTCAGCCAATTCCAAGGCTCCTCTGAGAAACAGACGGACACAGAGGGTTGGCAAGGTGGAACAGAATGATGTGGTGATGTGCGGCACACGAGGCGGCATGGGTCAAGGAAAGGGTGGTTAGGCGATGGCGAGGCAAGACTCACAGGACCGTGCCACAGCAGGACCGATCCCAAGGTGTCTCTGAGAAACATCGGAGCGTGGAGAGGAGGTGAGGGGAAAACTTTATGATTCAGTGATGGGCGGATGGGGAAGGAGAGAGGGGAAGGGAAGGGAAGGGGGGGGAGGGAGCCACTTATCCATCCAGGCTAGCTGGCAACGCCGCCGTCTGCTACCAACACACACACACACCTGCCAACACACACACACACACACACACCTGCCAGCACACACACACACCTGCCAGCACTCACACACATACCTGCCAACACAAACACATACACCCGGCAGCACACACTCACATACTTGCCAACACAAACACATACACCTGGCAACTCACACTCACATACCTGCCAACACAAACACATACACCTTGCAGCACACACTCACATACCTGCCAACACAGACACATACACCTGGCAGCACACACTCACATACCTGCCAACACAAACACATACACCTGGCAACACACACTCTCATACCTGCCAACACAAACACATACACCTGGCAGCACACACTCACATTCCTGCCAACACAAACACATACACCTGGCAAATCACACTCACATACCTGCCAACACAAACACATACACCTGGCAGCACACGCTCACATACCTGCCAACACAAACACATACCTGCCAGCACACCCATACATCTGCATAGGACCTCAGAAGGGAACTCAGTTGCACCAAAATCCTCCAGGAACTTGGTAACAGTTGTGGTGCCCTCCTTTTCGCCCCCAAGCTTCGGCCTTGGCACGAACAGACTGTAATTGTTGTACATCCAGTCACGGCCCTTTGTGAGCGCATCATTCCAAAACTTTTGAAGCCTGTCTCGTAGGTAGCGTCTCCGGTCCGTGTCACAGCGAAGAACCATTTTTATGACATACTGCTCCTCCAGTGCAGTGAGGCCCAGCACCAAGAGCAACACCTGATTGATCCGGCCAGGTTTGGGCCACATCGTGAAGTCGTTGAGAGGGGTGCGGAAGAAAAGGATGTCCAGGGCCTTGTCCACCATCTCCTGGAGGACAATGGTGTTGGGCGGGATGAGAAAGGGGGGGTGGGGGGTGGGGGGTGAGGTGTTAGGGAAGTGAGGGGGTGTGGGGTAGTCTTCAAAGTTGTTGCCAACATGTGATCCACCTCTCTAAGGACTACAAAAATCACATCTGATGTGGGAGAGATGAGTGTGTGAGGCTGGGTGGGACAGGAACGAACTCGGGAATGAGCAAATGGCAGGGAAGAGAGGCGACAAATGAAGGCAGGGGGGGGTGGGGAAGAGGTGGTGAGAGGGGCTGGTGTTGTGGGTTTACCTTCCAACCTCCGCCCTCTTCCGGGACGCTATCCAAAGCAAAGATAACTTGGACTGCCTTCTCCCATTGCAATTTGGTAATCCCTGAGCAGTCAATCTGCTGCTTGCGCATGTGAGCCTTCGCTACAGCGTGACAAAAAGCCGCTTCAGTGCGCGGCCACATTGGAGGAAGAAGTGTTATGGGGAGAGATGGGGTGGATTGTTCTGGGACCAGCAGCTGGTTGCTTGCTGCAGGACCAGCAATTGGTCGAAGGGCCTGTGAGCGGGTGTTACTAGTGGTGGATGGATTGGCTGGTGGATTATACTGGCCACCGTCTCCCGTCCCCCCATTGGTCGGAGGGATGTGTGTGGATGTCCGTCGCTGCACTTCGTTTTGTAGTTCCATAATGAGTCGCGCCTGCTCGCGACACTGAGCCTGCGCAGCCTCAAGTTCAGCTCGCGTGCCCCTGCTTGCAGCACGCCGTGGAGGCGAAGCCGTGTTGGTTCCCAAATCAGCCGCGTCTTCATCTTCCTCAGAATCTTCATCTTCGCTAGCATCAGCCGATGACGACACGGCTTGAGCGCCTGCAGCCATGCGAGCATAGTTTCGTGGCATACGCACTCGAAGTCCCCACGGCCGCCCCGACTGTTGCTGAACTTCGGGCATGGCTGGTGGGGCAGGGGAGGCCAGGGCAGCAGGGCGTGCGGCGGAGTTGAGGGGATGGCCAACTAGGCCTGGCAAAGTGGCCTGAGAGGAGTGAGTGACCTGTTCAGGTCGGGAGGAAGAAGGGCAGGAAGGCTGAACTGGGCTCGAGTGCGGATCTGAGGCATGCGGGTTTAACTGAGTGGCGGCGTTGAGATGATGACTTGCCGCATTGCCATAGGCGGAGGAGGGAGAGAGGGTGGCGGCTGCAGCTGAAAGCGAGGCGGAGGCGGAGCGGAGGCCAGTGTTTAACTGAGTGGCGGTGGTGAGATGCTGACTCGCCGCATTGCCATAGGCGGATGAGGGAGAGAGAGTGGCGGCTGCTGTTGAGGCGGAGGCAGAGGGGAGGCCGGCATTTAACTGAGTGGCGGCGGTGAGATGCTCACTTGCCGCATTGCCATAGGCGGAGGAGGGAGAGAGGGTGGTGGCTGCAGCTGAAAGGGAGGCGGAGGCGGAGGGGAGGCCGGCATTTAACTGAGTGGCGGCGGTGAGATGCTCACTCGCCGCATTGCCATAGGCGGAGGAGGGAGAGAGGGTGGCGGCTGCAGCTGAAAGGGAGGCGTAGGCGGAGGGGAGGCCGGCGTTTAACTGAGTGGCGGCGGTGAGATGTTGACTCGCCGCATTGCCATAGGCGGAGGAGGGAGCGAGAGTGGCAGCTGCTGTTGAAAGGGAGGCGGAGGCGGAGGGGAGGCCGGCATTTAACTGAGTGGAGGCGGTGAGATGCTGACTCGCCGCATTGCCATAGGCGGAGGAGGGAGAGAGGGTGACAGCTGCAGCTGAAAGGGAGGCGTAGGCGGAGGGGAGGCCGGTGTTTAACTATGTGGCGGCGGTGAGATGCTGACTCGCCGCATTGCCATAGGCGGAGGAGGGGGAGGGAGTGGCGGCTGCAGCTGAAAGAGAGGCGTAGGCGGAGGGGAGGCCGGCGTTTAAATGAGTGGCGGCGGTGAGATGCTGACTCGCCGCATTGCCATAGGCGGAGGAGGGAGAGAGAGTGGCGGCTGCAGCTGAAAGAGAGGCGTAGGCGGAGGGGAGGCCGGCGTTTAACTGAGTGGCGGCAGTGAGATGCTGACTCGCCGCATTGCCATAGGCAGATGAGGGAGAGAGGGTGGCGGCTGCAGCTGAGAGGGAGGCGGAGGCGGAGGGGAGGCCGGCGTTTAACTGAGTGGCAGCGGTGAGATGCTGACTCGCCGCATTGCCATAGACGGAGGAGGGAGAGAGAGTGGTGGCTGCAGCGGAAAGGGAGGCGGAGGCGGAGGGGAGGCCGGCGTTTAATTGAGTGGCGGTGGTGAGATGCTGACTCGCCACATTGCCATAGGCGGAGGAGGGGGAGGGAGTGGCGGCTGCAGCTGAAAGAGAGGCGTAGGCGGAGGGGAGGCCGGCGTTTAACTGAGTGGCGGCGGTGAGATGCTGACTCGCCGCGTTGCCATAGGTGGAGGAGGGAGAGAGAGTGGCGGCTGCAGCTGAAAGGGTGGCGTCATGTGCATGTTGCCCAACGTCCCGAAATTCACTAGCAAGTGGAGCATCCTGGCCTTTCTTGTTCCTGCGCGCTTGCGTGGATCGTTTCCCCTTCCGCACTTCTTTAGGCTTATTCGCACGGGTTCGGCGCTTTGTACCAGTAGTGAATGAGACATTGTTTAACGACGCGTACCTGTGGAATGGGTGGTAACAAATCAATCAGAAAATGCAATGAATACGCATATAAATGCAATGAAAATGCAATGTGGTTTGTCCTGAATGTGCATGTAAACCGACTGAAAAAACGGGTACGCGGATTGTGACGTACTTTCAGAATACTCGCTGTCTTGGGACTCGTGATCAGCCAGGCCATTGGGTTGCGTTGCGATGGCTCCCTGAGAGCAGGCAGTACCCACTGCCGGAGTTGAGAAAGTAGCTGCAGCCGCTCTAATAGGAAGAACTGCGGCAAGAAAAGGACTAGGTGCGGTCTGCATTGCTTAATAATCACTCGGTGTAGACCGTAGCATGCAAATGCTTGCTGGACGAAACTAACATGCCGTCAACAATAATAAAGTTCCAGATGAACAGCAGGCGGAATCAGTGTAGTGACGAACGTAAGCTACAAGACTGGAAGCGGCTTGGGAAGGCTATAAGTTTTAAAGCGTGCTGTGAAAACTAGGAATGGCGAATGAACCGGAGACGGGAAGTAGGTCGTTGATGGGTGTGAGGATGTGATGGGAGAATAACGTGGGAGCTCTTTGTCGCGACAGTTGCGCTGCACCGTCCAGGATGCAAAGTTATCCGACGGTCGAATTGTGGGGTGTTTTGACAGCACGGCACAGAGTGAACGAACTGCACTTGAATGATGACACAACGCGAGATCAACTTCCTGTTAGGGCGCGTCCTTTTCGCTTGTTTCGATGCGGCTCAATTCGATGCGTCAAGTTTTGCAACGGTCAAAAATTACTTTAGTCTGGTCGAGATGGGTATGATGCGTGACAATGTTGTGTGGGGCGGAGTGCACAGCTTGTCCAATAGCATGAGATTCGTACTATACTCCAATGCTCCCACTCGCTAGTGTAGCTGCGCGATCATGATTATGCTTGCACGCTGATCTTCAGACATAGTCAGTCATGCCATTTTGACCAATTTAATGGTTGGGTTGTTTTTTAAACTACATTTTGTCAAACTTATATAGTGCTTACATTTTGTAGGCTGTACTGGGGTAGCCCATAAGGGGTACAACCCAATTAGGGTTAGTACTTGTACCCAACTTTCTGCTCTGCTCTGGCAGTTTTGAGCTGGAGACACTGGCGTTGGAGTCGCTGGAGGCTCTGGAGCTGGAGGAGCTGGAGCTGGAGACCCTGGAGCTGGAGGCGCTGGAGCTGGAGGCACTGAAGCTGGAGGTGTTGGAGCTGCGGGTGCTGGAGCTGGCGGTACTGGTGCTGGAGGCACTGTGCAGCGGCGACTGTTTTTCGTTCCGCCGCCACCGTCGTCTCTGCCGCCACCTGACTCGGTCCTTCGCCAGGTTCTTAGTCTCCCGTCTTCTACTGGCCTTCCTTCTAGCTTACTGAGTCCACCGCCTCACCAGTCGCAGCCACAGTTACAGCCAAACTCCCCACTGCCTGCTCCTTCTCCTTACGCTGAGCAGACATACTCTTTTACAGAGCGTCGTGAGCATGAGTCTCGTCCTGCCTCGCCTGTTCGCGCTGTTCGCACTGGTCGTCGGGTTCCTCGTCCGCTTCCTCCTCCTGTCCCCGGCACTCACGTTATGGCACTTCGGTTGAATGATAGACAGTCATGTCACTTTGTTTGTTTACAAAGCTTGAGTTTATTTTGACCAATTGTTGACGGAAAATGGCCCCGCCCTCGCGTGCAGAAGTCCCCGTTGAGTGCGCGCACTGTTCGACCTAGAACTGTCCGCGGAGTTCGACCGCGTGTGTTGGTGCAGAAGTCGACGACGACCTGTCCGCATAAGTCTTCGTCAGAGGAAGCTGGTCAACCCGCTCGCAGAGAACACTCGTCGACGAGTTCGCAGAGGACACTGATACGCCAAGACCTGTCGAGGAGCATTGGTCGACGGGCTCCCCTCGACGAGCATTACTTAATTGCACGGTCGACGTCGTCTTCTACGTGCCGGCGACGTCGTCTTCTGCGGACAGGTTGACGTCGACTTCTGTGCGCAGTCTCCGTCTACTTCTGTGCGCAATTGAGTGCAAAGTCTGCTTCGCCCAATCGATGGCGGGGTCATTTCCCGTCAACATGGTTTTTGGTGGTCGCTGGTCGAACTCTCCACGTATCCGCCTGTACGCTTTGCATGTGACAAGACACAGTCTACCAATCATCTACGAGCACATGCGACGTAGGTGCGATGCTGTCTTGCGAGGGCAACGCACTGAGCCGCCTTGCTGCAGCATTGGCACGCCGTCGACTTGCAGTGTTGGCAGACCACGGCTTGGAATGATATAGGTGCACTGCTTCGTTCTGAGGCGGCGCACTAAAGAGACCCTTATTAATACTAAACTACCGGCGCTTTATTGCGAAGCTCTTACATGGCTTGTAGAACTTTGTGGGCACCATTGATGCTTACAACGCTGTCGCGGGCCGCTTCTGCAAGCATAACTTAGACTATTTCATACGAATTTGGATTAAAATGCGATGGTGACATTAACAGGAATTACAAACATGGCAAACATATGTAGCTTGAGCTTAGGTGGCCTTGTTAGAGGAGCTAGCATCTTTTCTTGGGGGTGGGAATACATATTGCTCTGCTTTTACCTCAAAAGGTGGCATGTTGTGATTAGTTGCTTATAGAATGGGCTTGATTGAGTAGTCTAATTAGATACATCTTGACAGAACCTGAGCCATTCAGCTCACATGCACCAACTCAAGCTGCCTTGGTCACTATAGTTGTCACAAAATGCCATGCCAACCATCCACCTCATGGCCACTTGACTAGGGGTGTTTGTGCAACTTGTGCTTTATCTAATCATTGCAATTCAATCCACACATGTCCTTTGGGGTCTTGATCATACAGAACCTGATGCCCAGCTAAGCATCTATTTCTATCCACTTGTGGTCACTTCCAATAGAGTGAGGGACACATGAATCCATCCAACACACTCAAGAATGAGCAACTAATGATACATCCCACACTCATCACTGTTCAATTGCAGCATTTGACAGCAAAACTGATGGTGTAGGAGAGCCTTGCTCAAGTATGGACAGCAGTGGTGCAGCATGTGCATGATTTGCATTAAATGCTTTGGTATTTCCTCGTTCTTCTCCTGTTGAGAGCTTTCCTCTATGAACTCATGAGTGGTGAATTCCATTCACTCCATCAATAGTCGAGTGAACATTGCCCACTCATGTACTCTTCCCAATCTCGCTCGATAAACTTGCACACATGCTTAGTCATATGCAAGCGACCTCACTGCATAGGTAAGCCACCGTCCTAACCTAGCTAATTTCAGATTAGCAGGGGCGTGCTGCATGAATCGTTTGCCAACTACAAGCCTTAATTGTCACCCAACATGACGTGAGTCGCCTATCAGTGCTGTGTGGCGTATGTTACCCTAGACGCAACTCTTACAAACTCCCTCTGCTCAATTGCCAAGTGGACCTTTAACTATCGCGGCTTGTAGCATCGTTTGTTCAAAGCTGACTCAGCGCCACATCCGCCGTCACTGCCCCCAATGGTGTTTGTGAAAGTAGTTTCAGTATATAGCGGTCCTTCCTTGTCACATTCTGTTTGTGATAGCATTTCATGATTGGGATGTCTCCTAAAGCTCCTCGCGCAGTGCGTTTCACTCGATAGAGATCTCGCTCACACACACGTTTTGAATATGATTCAGATTAGCGGTCGCGATTGAATTCTCAATGTCTAGATATCATTCTCACGGTCGATATCTCATTCTCACGGTCGATATCTCATTCTCATGGTCGATATCTCATTCTCACGGTCGAGATCCCATTCTTACGGTCGATATCTCATTCTCACGGTCGAGATCTCATTCTCACGGTTGAGACCTCATTCTCACAGTCAAGATCTCATTCTCATGATCGAGATCTCATTGTCACGGCCGCGATCTCATTCTCACGGTCGAGTTCTCATTCTCACGGTCGATGTCTCTACCAACTGCTCAAGATATCTCTCTCTCTCTCTCTAATGGTCCTTGTATTGATATAGCCGCAAGGTACAAACATGCAACTCATAGGTAGCAACTTGGCAAGGCACAAGGAGACACAAAAACCTCCCTACAATTCCACAAAGGGCTCAATGACCGCAAAGCAGTCCCCTAGGTGTAACTCATCCCCGATCCCCCCCACAGGCGGGTTCTCCACTGCCGCTGCCTCCCCTAGTTTGAGCAGGAGACCCACGGACTGGGCCCTTTGTAGGGCCACAGACCAGCGCTGCCTGAACTGGTGCAGGAACTTAGCAACGTAGAATGACTTGGAGTCGGCGTTGAAGTGGCGCCGGGCTGCAGTGTCCGCCAAGAGCTTCAGGAAGACTGGCACTTCAGCACAGGGGCAGCCGTAGGTATCCACCGCTAGAGGAAAGAAATTCACTCTCTGGCCGGGCAGCGTAGTGCTTGACTTTCTTGTCAGCCTGCTCCCGCGCCGCCCAGCCCCTGCCCTTCTGTGCCTTCGGGTCCCTAGTGCTAATGGGATCTGTGATGGTGACGTCGCACACGTAGACCGCGCCGCTGCTTCTGTCTGTCATCGTGAAGTCCGCGGTCTGTTCCTCAATGGGGCAGTATGTCGAGGTCTCGCTATGGACGATGAATCCCGCGTCTTGGGCCATGCTAATACAAGCATCCCGCAGCTCGTTGTGGGTGTTGATACGGTGTTTGCCCGTGCCGCAACGGAGAAGGTGGTTGGGGAGGCGGGGGTCTGGGATAGCGGTATGGTCAGAGCAGTCGCAGTTTTTAGGCGTGGAGAAAGGAAGGGCCAGCCGGAAGCGCACGGCATTGGAGAAGTGAACGGGCCCGATCCTTCTGTTCGCCGTAATGGGGATGGCTGTCAACCAGTCCCCGGTCCCGTAGCCGGTCAGCGAAAACATCCGCTGCGTGTGTCCGCTCAGGGGGTTCAGCTCCATGCGCCGTGTCTCCTGAACCTGCACGGCGTATCTGCTCCCGTGCACCTGTAGAGCTAGTGCATGTTGTAGTCGCATATCCGTCCGCTTCAGCCGCTCCTTCTCCATGATTTCTCGTGCATCCAGGGGTAACGCGGCTTCGCACTCAGTGAGCCACTCGTGAAGGGGAGTGGTGACGTCTGCCGGCAGCAGCATGTGATCCCGAGCCCGCGTCAGTGCGCCGCGAGGGGCACACTCCAGTGATGCCAGAAAGAGCGCGGCCTGTGTGAAGCTCGCGGTGTAGCCGTACACCCCTTCGATTAAGGGGTCTGTAATGCCGATTCCCCCTAGCGACGGCGGCAGGGAAGCTTGCGCCCACACGCGAGATTGCTCGGCGCGGTGGGTTGGAACGCGGATGCC